GATTTTACCTTGATCCTTTTCTGTTGGTCACTTCTATGGGTAATTAGGTTTATTTAACTTTTAGCATGAGGTGGAATTCAGGAAGGTTTTTCTGACTTCGTAGAGCTCTGCCTCTGTTGCTTTTATCCAGTGTTCTAAAGAGGTAGGCCTGAATTCTGAGATTTCCTAGGTCTTTTCTCCTTCCCCATTTGGTCTGGGTCTCCTCTTTCTTCTGTTGTTCTACTCTACTCAGTTTTGATTTTACACCAGTAGTTTCTTCTCAGTGTGGGACTTGTTCTAGAATATAGTCTGGGTGGATCAGTTTTGAAAGTTCATGGTGACTAAATTGATTAAACCTCTTTTCAGACCTTCTTATCATGGACCTTTTGTCTCACGCAGTATTAGAGGTGCCAGAATCCCTCCTCATTTCAGCTACTGTCAATGTTTTCCTCATTGGCCTGATATGCTTTGCAGTGACTACATATTAGGTATTTTGGAGTTGTTAGGTTCATTAGGTTCATTAGTTGCCACCTTATTGTTTTGTTTTTCCTGTCAAGCAGTGCAGGTCTTGTGGGTGTTGGTGAATTGTCTCTGCATTTTGGGATTTGAAGGGGTACCTTGTCTCATAGTTTGTTTTAGGTGTTGTGGATGGGATTTTGGCTTTGTTGTCTAGATACCTTGTCTGTTTTCATGTGGAGAGTTGAAGAGATCAAAATCTATGCTGCTACCGCTGCTACCATCTTCCCAGAACCTTGCCATTAGTTTTGATGTCCCCTGTAAGTGCACTCTATGATGTTCGCACAACAGAATTGCCTAACGACACATTTCTCAGAACATATTCCCACTGTTAAGTGACACATGACTGTATATAGTTCTCTGGGATTGTTTTCTTCACTGAACATTATGCTACTAAGATTAATCTGTATTTTGAATGTAGCTATAGTACATTCCCTCTCACTGCTACATAATTTATTATATTAATATCTATATTTTATTTATTCTTCTGCTGGTGAGCATTTTAGCAATTCTAGTTTTGTTGGTCATTACAAAACAACAATAGCAACCATTGATGTATATTTACTATGTCACAGACAGTTTTTTATGTGTTTTACATATATTATCTCTCGTAAACCTCATAAGAACCCTGTAAGATAGGTACTATTTTATTCTCATTTAAGGCTAAGGAGAGGCAAAAAGGGTTAAATAACTTGCCCAAGGAGGCAGGATTCAAAATGTAGGGTATCTAGTCCTTTCGTCTGTGCTTATGTAGTAGATTGTTTTGGATTCTGGAAATACAAGTATTATCTCTGTTCTCACAGACCCTTAATTATAAAACATGATACATGCATAAAGATACATTATATTTCACTATTTTGTAAGGTTTTCATGTTGAGAACATATAATCTTTGTTCATTTGATTTTAATTTGAGAGAGAGAGTGATGTTTGGAATGTACTTGAAACTCTAGCATAAGGGATTCTGTGAATGCACTTATTGGAAAGGTCATCTTTTTTTAGTGAAATAGCTCATGGTGCTCACATCTGGAGCTTAGCACCATCTACTGGCAAAGGGAAACAACTGTTGGGAGGACAGTATACACTTTCATAGGATTTTTCCTTTTGAAACTGTTTCTGGGGGGAATAAACATGTTGTAATTTTTCTGTGTATTGATTTTTGTATCCCTGTGTGTTTCCTTTAAACTTCAAATATCTATTATATATTGCATATTTGCATAACTGCATTTTTATGAGGAAAAATACAAGAAAATATATAGTTTTATAGGTCTGTCATTCTGCAATAGTCTTTTTCAAATCATATAAGCCTATTATTTTTTTAGAGTAATAAGAGCAGAAACAAAGGTGTCCAATTGTGCTAATATGAACTGTATTTAGTTTATAGCTCTGTTTTGGCTTGGTTAAGTAATACTATATATTTTTTTAAATATATTTTATTGATTTTTTTACAGAGAGGAAGGGAGAGGGATAGAGAGTTAGAAACATCGATGAGAGAGAAACATCGATCAGCTGCCTCCTGCACACTCCCTACTGGGGATGTGCCCGCAACCAAGGTACATGCCCTTGACCGGAATTGAACCTGGGACCCTTGAGTCCGCAGGCTGACGCTCTATCCACTGAGCCAAACCGGTTAGGGCTAAGTAATACTATCTTTATAGAGGAATGGAATTAATAGTAGAATGAAAAAAGAGTTCTTAGTGTCTAACCATGGGAAGCTTCTCTCTGCTCAGCTGTTGGTATTAACCTAATTTCTATTTTAATCTTTACTTAAATTGGTTTAGCTTTCATTTGTCAGTGGCTTAGCATTCTGTTTGTATCCTGTTTTAGATTAACTTCTATTGCTTAGCACTATTCTTGGTCATTTTTTCCTCATCATTAATTGAAATGATTTAAAAGTGGATGAGAAAAAAAGGATGAGAAATCAGTTGCCCTTTTTTTCCATTTCTTATTCAATATGTTCCATTTCTTCTTTTCTGATATGTTTTCTATAGGCACTTTACAAGTTAAAAGTTTTTTAGATGTGACAATTTTAGTTAAAGGTGAAATGATCATTTTTACAGAAGGAGGGACATAATGATTGCTTAATGAGTATTGGTTGAATGTTTCGTTAAAGAAATTTTAAAAAGCTAACTTGTGTTTTAGAGCAGGAATGGTTGTTTAATGAATCATTAGTCTGATATGTTTACTTCTAAGTGTACTGAGCACAATAAACAATTGTTCTTTTGCCCTGTGACTACTTAACACTTGAAATAAGAACTATTTTTTGTTTTAAATGTTAGCTTATTATAGGTATACTTTAGAGATACATGATTAAATGGAATAAAGACTTATTTGTTAAAAATAGCAATAATTACAAATTTTGGATTGTATGTCATAATGTTACATAGTTGAATATAAAAAGTCCAAGATTGCTCTTGTAATAAGGTTTCTAATTTGTTGAATATAGTCTCAGTGTAGAGAATGAAAGTGGGGTCATTTGTATTTTTGTTTTTGTTGTTTGTTTGAATGTTTTACTTTAGAAACCAAATCCCCCTTTCTTAATCTGGTCTACAGTGGATACCAAAATATTTTAATTTTATTTAAAAGTACATTTTAAAATTGCTTATTTAAGTATAACTCATCCCCCCCCCCAATATCTAACTTCTTAGAAATGTGTTCTATATTTAAAGAGAGAAGTGTATAGAGACTTTCAAAATATTATATGAACATGTAAAATTTTTAAAACATACCAGTTATTTTCAAAAAGATTTTTACTATCTCAGGTAGTTATTCCTTTCTCTCAAACTTTTTAATTATCAACTTACTCTTTGATTTATTTTGTATTTTGCCTGAAGATTAACTGCTAATAAGTGATTTAATTCAGGACTACTTTTCATTGTGCTGAATTTTAGGTGAGGGGATAACAAGATGAATTATTCCTGCCATCTAAAGTCTGTTATAACGAGAATTGCAGCCTTATACAGGGTATAGTAAAAGGAGGTTTACAGCTGTGAGTACACAAAACGCAGAGTTTATTCTTGTATTATTATTTAATAGCTAGAGGCCCAGTGCATGGATTTGTGCACTGGTGGGGTCCCTCGGCCTGGCCTGCGCCCTCTCGCAATTTGGGACCCCTAGGGGGATGCCAGATAGCCGGTTTCGGCCTGATCCAGACAGGAGGGAGCCCAGTCCTGTGCGTTGAGCGTCTGCCCCTGGTGGTCAGAGTGCGTCATAGGAACCGGTCGACCGGTCGTTCAGTCGCTTAGGCTTTATCTATATAGATTATTGTATTATTTTCTATACGAACAACTGTAAACCTACATTTGCCCCACCCTGTGTATTATAAAGGAAAATGTATTAAGAGGGATCTATGTTTAGGTATAGGAACCAATTGTTTTAGTTGTTCAGAGCCATTAGAATTTAGTCTGAACTAAGAATAAAACAAAACTCCCAGAGTCAGTGTATATGGTACTACTAGTATTTGAGTGGGACCTTGAAGAATTAGAAGAAATTGATAGGTGGAGATAAAGAAGAAAGAATGCCTCAGGCTGAACAAACCATAGCATCTTGTATAGGGTCTCTGAAGCAGTATTTTGGCAAATGGATTTCATATTCCATGCATAGTTTTAGGAATTCTTACTTTATGAATCATGAATTGCAATAATATTATCAACTTCTTTTTTAAGAAATATAATACTTCTTTCATACAGTGTATTCCATACCACTCTGTTAGAAAGAAGATACGTTCTGCTTTAAGCACAGAATTGTCAGCTAGAGAGTATTTTTAGGAATGGGGGGAGAAATGTAGAGTTTTCCAATTTAACACTACTGCTAAACTGTTTGAACAGATAGATGCTTAGAACAAATGAAGCTTCAAAAAATAATTCACCTGAGGAGGAGTGAATTATCTTAAACTAGTATCACAATTTAATTGGTTAAAACTTAATCTTACTCAACTGAATTGAACAAGCTTCATATTCTTTCAGCTCTATGAAAACATGTTTTTCCTTAATACACATCTGTCTCCTTGAGAGCTATGACCTTTCTTTGTATAGGATGCAGTTTATGTACTGTACAAAGGGGCACAGGTGAAGATGTTAGGGCGTTGAAATGCAGTCCTTGCCCAGCTTTTCTAAGAAAAAGGCACTCTACCTAGAGGAGTCCTTACCCTAAAGTGATTATAAATTTACTTTATTTTTTTAGTGGATTTAGTACTTAGCTTCTAGAAGAGTACAGGTACAAATTAGGAACTCAGTAAATACTTTTTCCATATATAGAGTATTCAGAAGTTTAAACAAGATGAAATTTCCCTCAGACCATGGCTTTTTGGCAGATTATTATATATATTTCATGGGATTTAAAAAAAATTTATTCTACTCAATCTGTAGTCTTCTTGAAGTAAAATTCCATGTTTATATGGAATTTATATTTATGTTTGTTGTGTTTTGCCAAATTGTTATTGCTGACAAGCTGTATTGTTATTTCTGTTCTGATTCCATTTATAAAAATATTTAAATTTTAATTTCAGGTATATTGTTTTTTTTTGCCCATGTGACCTAGTTTCCCAGGGCTATTCTTTCCTACCTGTTCAACTCTTGGCTGCAGGAATGAAGGAAGTGACCAGAACTTGGAAAATAGTAGGTGGAGTCACACATGCTAATAGCCATTACAAAAATGGCTGGATAGTCATGATAGCTATTGGATGGGCCCGAGGTAATATTAACAGTATATGTTCATAAATGTTATTGGTGTACTACAACTACTGAACAGTTCTCTAGTTATATTAATGGGGACCATATACTAGTACTTTAATAATGTCTTTTTGGAGGATGGAAGACTCGTTCCTGTTGGCTACTAAAGTTAATTCAAAACTAGCACTTTTCACTAGTATAGCCATCAGCCATTATTTTGAGCCCAACTGTCTTACAATATAAAATTTTTATGATTGGTTTCATTAGCAGCCCCAGAACTTGAGGGATTCATAATTAATTAAGGTGTAGTGCCATCATACATAAACCAAGTTTACATAAGAAATGATGTGCTGCATGTAAAAAAAAATTGTGTGTTTTTTAAAATTCTGAATAACTGGAAATGGGAAATATGATTGATTATGGGTTCATGTTTACTTTGCATTATTTACCTTTATTGTTGAGTTTTTTTGTATGTAGGAATTGAACAAATTTCTCCAATCTCCTATTATAGTGTATTTCACCTAAAACTAATATCAGGGAAGGAAATAGTAAAACAGAGGATTTTATTTTTCAGGTCTGAAACAAACCTCTAGCCACATCTCTGTGCATAAGGACCCAATTTTAATTTAATTATTGGACAGTAGACAGTTGCCATATGCTGAAAGGGAAGAAGAATTGCAATAGTGTCAGTACCATTAATGTACAAGGCAACTTTTTTCTTCCTCAAAATTATATTTTGGGGATCCTCTCGGGATTTTAAGTCAGGAAGTAAAATTATGGCTTTGTTTTAAATATTCCTTTAGAAAATTTGGCTAAATATTCTTGTTTTATTTTCTTATTTTTAGGTGCAGGTGGTAGCATTATCACAAATTTTGAGCTATTGGTAAAAGGAGATTGGAAACCACAAGCGGATGAATGGATGAAGATGTCCTAGTGAGTTGGTATAAACTATACTGAGAATCTGGCTTTTTAACCTTAGATCCCACCAAATTTATTTTTAAAAACATTTTATGGATTCTAGATATGGATGAAATATAGGTGAAAAAAATAAATAGTGATGATAATGGGAAGAAAACCAGGAAACTTTATTCTTTCAAAAAGACTGCTCTCTCAAATGTAGTTTTAAAAGTATATATTGATTCATTTATTTGTGGGTTCCTTTCTTTAGGAAATAAAATAAAACAAAATTTCTAGATTGTTAGAATTGTGAGAGGAGTATGAATTTATGGAGAGAGAATTACATAGGCACAGACTTCTCTAAATGGAAATGAATCAGTTGCAGGCTCTTGGTATTTTCATTAATGAAATCACCCAGATTTCAAATTTACATAGTTCTGTTAGTAAAATGTCAAATTTAAGAGAACAAATCAAAGCGTTGTCATAAAGCCCTGGTAGTTGCTTTAAAAATGAAAGTTGAGTTTAATTGTACATAACAATAAGAAAAAGATTAGAGGAAATAACCTACTCTATACTTGGACGCATACTACCTTTTGTGTCCACTTAAGAAAATCTAATTGTTAGATATTCTTTAATGACACTGACCCCGTATTAAATAAGTCAAAAATGTATCCCTGATGTACCTGAAAATGAAACAGAAGTACAGTTTCCGTTCCCACAATTCAGGAAGGAAAAGGTTTAGGGAATAGTGGCCATAATAAGCAAGGCAAGGCAAGACTTCGTGTGAAAATAAGCTCATTAGAATGGATTAAAAATGAAAGTGGAGAAGCAGTATGGGTGGTGAGGTATGTTTGAGAACCAACAAATTCCAGGATATTTAACTTGGAAAGTACTCCTTAAAGCTTGAATTGAGGCAGTTCAGAAATAGAACAAAGAAGGTTTTGGATGATGATAAGTTATAAATAAGGCATTAGTGTAATTAAGGGGAAATTTTTCTCATTTTGAGTGCATGCCTTGAAATACTTTTATAAGCCATTTTTTGGGGCTTTAAAACCAAAATCAAATTATGTTTCTCCTCTGTTCAAAACCTTGCAGTGACTCCCTGAAATGGCCTATAAGGCCCTCTAAGATCTGTCTGTCCCCCACACCCAATTTGCTTTGACTTCATCTCTTATTCTTCTCTCCCTTGTTCACTACACTCTGTTCTTGAAAAAGCCTGGTGTGGTCTGGTTTACACTAGCTTTTCTCTTTGCCTAGAATTTTTTTCTCAGGTTGCTATCTCCCTATCTACTTTGTTCAAAGTATTTTCTCAAAGCTCACCTCAGTGAGGACTACCCTGCTTAAAATGGGAGCATATTCCTCTATTATTCTTTTTTTTCCACACAGCATTTATCATATTCTACCACTTACTTATTGTGTTTATTCTTCTCTCCCCTTGACTTCACTTCCCCACCCCACTTCCTTCAAAGAATACAAGATGCCAAGGACAGGGATTTTTTTTTTCTTTTGTATCCCAAGCATCTACCATATAGTAGACAATAAATATTAGATGAATGAAATGATTGACAATTTGTCAGGTAATTATGATATTTTTGTCCATTATGATATTTTGTGATTGTGTGCATATACTTAAGTTTTCATATATATATTACCAAATACTTTTGCATAGCAGAGAAAATCTATTTGGTCTTAGAGAATACATACATTGTCATAAACAGAACGTTGGTAGAAATATGAATGTTAGAGGTGCTGGTGAGGGCTCTGAAGGAAATGGGGAACATGATCTTAGAAACTGGAGAAATGATACAGTTACCATATATAGTGGCAGAAAGCTTAGCTGAATTGTGGAAAGCATAACATGTAAGCAATGAACTTGGTTAGTTAGCTGAGGACATGTAGAAGCAAATTGTTGAAGTTCTGGACTAGGTTTTCCTTGCTGCTTATAATGAAGTGTGAGAGGAAAGATTTGACTTGAGGGAATAACTGCTAAATAAAGAAACCAAGACTTGATGATTTAGGAAATTCTCAGCCAATCCAGACTGGAAAAGATGATAAAATTAGTAGACTTGTTCTTAGGAAAGCCTGCTGAGGAGAGAAAGTCAAGGGTGTTGCTGGACAATTTTTGCTAGTGTTAAAAGAGATTAGGCATGGGACACATGGATCCATTGAGCTATCACAAGAGAAACCAGGGCCAGAGATGGGATTTGTGAAGGACCATTTTGACTAATGGCATGGATTCCTGTGTCAGACACAGGAGACCCATAAGGTCTTTGAAAATGTTATTTCAGCAGAAACATTGCCAGCTTGGACTGAAAGGGACAGAGATAAGATGAAATAAAAGAAGGCTGTCAGACTCCTAAAATTCTACAGGCAGAAAACAAACTGATAAAACTGCTCAGCTTCAAACATGTGCTACCCTTCAAGGAAAAGGATGAATTATTTTAAGGTGAGAGCTGTGAGCCTAGAGGTCTGAGGCCAGGCACACAGGCTGGAGTCACAGGTGTAAAGGCCAGAGTCCTGAGTGCAGAGGTTGGAACTGCAGACTCAGAGGACGCATCTTCAAGCCACATAGAGGATTGTTCTCAGGCCTCAAAACCTAATGTAATTTGCCCTCTGGATTTTGAACTTGTGTAGGACCAGTGACCACTTTATTCTTCTGTTTTTTGTTCCCTTTTGGAATGAGAATGCCTGTAACTGTTATTCTATGCCTATTCCACCACTGTATTTTGGAAGCAGATAGCTTATTTACTAGTTTCACAGGAAACTACTATAAGAATTTCATAAATGTTTCCTGACTTTCCTAACCACCCTCATTGACTTTTTCCTAAATCCCAGCCCTTTTCCAATTTCCTGCTCCAATTTATTGTCTACAATAATTTTTCCTCAGATTCATTGCTTCTGGATATACGCTCTTAAGAGAACTCAATCCAGAATGGAATTTGTGTGCACTAGAGGATGCCCGTGATGAGGCACTGTGGTACAGACACCAAATTATTAGAAACAAAGAGTAGCAAAATGACATGAAGACAAACCTACTTTCATTTGTTTTTTATCTCAACTTGTTAAAATGTCAATTTGTTGTACATTTTATAATAACAGTTGTACATGTATATAATTTACAAATTAATTGATAAATATATTTAGGGAGTGTCTTAAATACTTTCTTTACCAATAGGGCTGGGTACACATTTAAAAGTTTAGAGATTACTTTTCCAAAACAGGAATGCTGCCGGATCATTGTTAAGCAAAGTCCAAACCCCTGTTGCCCAAACCGAACTCTGCTTTGAACTCAATTCTTAGCTTGTAATAATGAAATTAATAACTAATTTTTCATAAAATGGCTGATAGGGGCTTTTAAATTCTAAGTTTATTATTTATATTTTTCTAGTTGTCACCATAAAGGGCTAGATAATGATCTGTTACTGAGATATGCTTTAAATATGTGGCAAACATACATTAAAGTAGTGCTTCTTATTTGTAGCTTAACATCTTACAGACTTGAACTAGTCAGCATTAATTTATTAAGATATTAGCTAATGCAAATATTCTGTGCTAGAGTTAGCTAAGTAATGTGCTGGAGCAAGCTCATACTGTTTTATGAGAGCCAATTGTGTATATCTCTTCTCTTTACACAGCAGCCTGAAGTTGGTTGTGATGGGAATATTTACACACTGGAAATGAGAAATTGGGGCTTTCTTTTCCTAACCCCATTCCATCCAAGCAGCCTGTTTAGCATTGTAAGGTTTTTTCAGGACTAATCTACTTGTCCCAAATTATGCTGACAAACATGGGATTTCCAGATCCTTCGTGAGAAAGTGTTATGTGGTCAAATATGTTCCAGAAATATTGCATAAAGAATTGTACTCTATCAGAGAGTGACAATATATATGAACATTCTAAAATCTCTGATACTTTATGCTGTGAAGAAAGGTATTTAATTTTATATAACTTAACATTTCACAGAGCTCATTTTGTGTTATATCTATTAGTAACTCGTTAAATTAGTATTTTGTAGGGTACTCTTTGAGAAATATTTAGTTAATCTATATTTAGTTAATGACTTACTGACTTAAAGTGTGTTTTATTTTCAGCCCTGCCAAGGTAACCCTGCTGGGGTCAATTATCTTCACATTCCAGCACACTGAGCACCTGCAAATATCAAGGCATGATCTTATGTTCCTCTACACTATGTTTCTTGTGGTCACAAAGGTAAGAGTTCAAAGTATCAATAAATCACTGTTACAGATTCTGTGTAATCAGAATTCTGCATATGAGGCAAGTAACAGGAATATTTATTTTTTATTGTTATTACAGTCTAAAATGATGAACTTTGGGGAATTTATTCAGCAAATCCATGACTTTCTGAAACTTATCTCTCCTGATTTCTCATTTGATTTATGCTGAGGCTACCAGGAAAGACTTGCAGATAGCCTCAGAGTATATTGGAGGCCAGAGAGTAGTGAAAATAGCCAAGCCTGATCAGAGACTGCAGAGACAGTGTCATCTCATTTGGAAAATGAGGTACTTGGGTAGATGTTCTCTGAGGTTCTTTTGAACTTTAAAATTTAGAAATTTTATATTAGGACATTTGTGGTCAATCTCTTTTATTGTTATTGTCTGGTTCAAAGCTTTATTCATACTTGAAGATAGGAGATAGTATGATATAGGATCACAGTTTTTTGAGACAGATTGTCTTAAGTTCACACCTAACTTTACTCTCTAATCCCTGAATAGGCAAGTCACTTAATGTCTCTAATCCTGATTTCCTCATTTTCATTGTATCATTGTTGAGAGGATTGGAGGTGACGTATGCCATTCTATTACTGCGTCTGACATATCCTATGAATTCTATTTGTAGCTATATTGTGAGGCTAATTCTGATTATTGGTATTCTTACCATTATTAGATACTAGAGGCCTGGTGCACGAAATTCATGCACTAGGGGAGGGGGGTGTTCAGGGGTCCCCTCAGCCTGGCCTGCACCCTCTCGCAGTCTGGGAGCCCTCGGGGGATATCCAACTGCTGCAGAAGCAGGGGAGGCTCCTACCACTGCCACTGTGCTTGCCAGCCATGACCCCGGCTTCTGGCTGAGTGACACTCCCCCTGTGGGAGCACACTGACCACTAGGGGGCAGGTCCTGCGTTGAGCATCTGCCTCCTGGTGGTCAGTGTGTGTCACAGCGACTGCTCGTTCCGCTGTTCGGTCGATTTGCATATTAGCCTTTTATTATATAGGATTGTTTCCTATTCAAAGCTAGGCAATTGATTTTAAAATAACTTTACTATCTAGGCCTAGAAAAATTTTACAGCTGTTTCTCAGCCTAGATATTTTTGGCTAAAACTTATGTACAGGATTCTTAAAAGGAAGTAGTATATGTTACATACATTTATGTCTTAGAAAGAACCAAGCCACTATATGGATCATTTATTCCTGCTTCAGTGGTCTCTGCAATGGAGGTTATCTGTGGTGGTAATTCAAGTAATGCATTACTTGATATCTGAAGCAACATCTCTTTACATGTGCCTTCCTCTTCCAGTCCTCAAATTTGGGGCTGTATGTATTGCTTTGTAACAGCTCTACTGAGATATATTTTACATACCATACAATTAATCCATTTAAAGTATACAATTCAGTGGTTTTTAGTATAGTCACAGAGTTGTACAGCCATCACCACAATCGTTATTAGAACATTTTCATCACCCCCAAAAGAAACCTCATACTCATTAGCAGTCACTTCACATTTTCCTTTAATCCCCCAGCTGTAGGCAACTACTAATCTACTTTCTGTTTATAAATTTACCTATTCGGATATTTTATGTAAATAGGATACTATAATATGTGGTCTTGTGACTGATTTTTTCCCCTTAACATTAGGATTTTGAGGTTCATCAGTATTGTATGTATCAGTACGTTATTCCTTTTTATTGCCAAATGATATTCCAGTCTGTGGATATACAGTAAAATCTCGATATAATGGACTGATTCAGGTAAGGGGTTGTCCTTTAAAGCTGAAAAAGTCCGTTATATAATAACAAATGCATATGTTAAAAAATTGAAAAATTAGTTTACCTGTTTTTACTTATGTAGACATGTTTGGGTAATTAAAATTAAGTATGTATAAAAAGTTTCATTTCACAGAAAAGTTTTCTGTTTGTATTACAATAATTTTAAATTTATACCGAATAGGTCTGGTAAATGCATGTATTCACAAATCACTGTGAGTAACACAGCTGGGGCTTGGCTTATCGTACATGGGGACAGTAGCCTGCAGGCACGAGTTAAAGCTGCTGCAGAAAGTCATGCCACGCAACAACAGAACCGATTATAGTATGCGTGATGTGGTGTGATCATATGCTAATCATTTATCAAACATTGTTTACCAGAGGTGACTCTTGGATTTAAGTATGTAGACTATGGTTGTAGATATGTAATATTTATGTCGGTGAAATTACTACAGTGTTTTTTCAAACATATGGCCTATACGCTAAAATTTGTTAAAAATAACAGTGAATCACCTGGCCAGTGTTGCTCAGTGGTTGAGTGTCAATCTATGAACCAGGAGGTCACGGTTCGATTCCTGGTCAGGGGATATGCCTGTGTTGCAGGCTCAATCCCCAGGGTGGGGCATACAGGAGGCAGCCAATCAATGATTCTCTCTCATTATTGATGCTTCTATTTCTCCCTCTCCCTTCCTCTCTGAAACCAATAAAAATATATTTTAAAAAATAACCGTGGCCGAAACCGGTTTGGCTCAGTGGATAGAGCGTCGGCCTGCGGACTGAAAGGTCCTAGGTTCGATTCCGGTCAAGGGCATGTACCTGGGTTGCGGGCACATCCCCAGTGGGAGATGTGCAGGAGGCAGCTGATCGATGTTTCTAACTCTCTATCTCTCTCCCTTCCTCTCTGTGAAAAATCAATAAAATATATTTAAAAAAAAAAAATAACCGTGAATTAATAACAAAAATATAACCTATTAATTTAATTATAAGCAAATCTTGGTTAAAAGCGTTTTCACCTATGACATTTGGACCAGAAATTTTGTCTGTTAAATCTGAAGTCCGTTAAATTGAGATCTGCAAAATCAAGGGTTTATTATACTACATTTTATTTATCTATCATTTGATAGCTATTTGGGTTCTTTTGCTTTTTGGCCAATATGAAAATGAGCTATGAACATTTACGTTCAAGTTTTTATGTGGACATGTGTTATATTTCTCTTGGGTATATCATATAGGAATGGAATTACTAGATCATATAGTAATTGTACGTTTAATCTTTTGAGGAACTTTGAGGAATTAACCGAAGTGGCTTTATCATTTTACATTTCTATCAGCAATATATGAGAGTTCTAATTCACCACATCTTTGCCAGTGCTTGTCTTTTTCATTAAAGCCATCTTAGTGGGTATGTGGCAGCTCATTGATTTACATTTTTTTATATATATATTTTATTGATTTTTTACAGAGAGGAAGGGAGAGAGATAGAGAGTTAGAAACATCGATGAGAGAGAAACATCGATCAGCCGCCTCCTGCACACCCCCTACTGGGGATGTGCCCGCAACCCAGGTACATGCCCTTGACCGGAATCGAACCTGGGACCTTTCAGTCCGCAGGCCGACGCTCTATCCACTGAGCCAAACCGGTTTCGGCTGATTTACATTTTGATTTACATTTTCCTGATGACTAATAATGTTGAGCATCTTTTCATGTGCATACTGACCATTTATCTATCATCTTTGGGGCAGTGTCTGTTCAAATCTTTTGCCCACTTAAAAAAATTGGATTATCTTATTATTGAGTTGTAATAGTTTTCTATATATTCAGGATACCAGACCTTTGTGAGATACATATATATATATAGCCATTATTTTTCTCCCAGTTTGTGGGTTTCTTTTTTTATTTCCTTAGAATTGTCATTAGAAGAGCTGAAGTTTTTTTTTTTTAAATATATTTTATTGATTTTTTACAGAGAGGAAGGGAGAGAGATAGAGAGTTAGAAACATCGATGAGAGAGAAACATCCATCAGCTGCCTCCTGCACATCTCCCACTGGGGATGTGCCCGCAACCCAGGTACATGCCCTTGACCGGAATCGAACCTGGGACCTTTCAGTCCGCAGGCCGACGCTCTATCCACTGAGCCAAACCGGTTTCGGCTGAAGTTTTTAATTTTGATGAAGTTCAGTTTATCATTTTCCTTTTATGGTTCTGCTTTCTTGTGTCCTAGCTAAAATATTCTACCATATCTCAAGGTTGTAAAGATTTTTCACCTGCATTTTTTTCTTACAGTTTTATTGTTTTTGTTTTTACATTTAGGTTTATGATCCATTTCTTTAAAAATATTTTTACTAACTTTATTGGGTGACATTTATTAATAGGATCATAGAGGGTTTCAAGTATACATTTCTATGATACATGATCTGTATATTGCATTGTGTGCCATCTCAAATTAAGTTTTATAATTGGCAGGAGGTAAGGGTCAGGTTATTTTTTTCATATGAATATAAAGTTGTTTTTAGCACTATCGGTTGAAAAGACTATCTCTCATTGAATTATCTTGGCACCTTTGTTGAAAGTCAATTGTTCTTACAATTGGTATGGGTCTCTTTCTGGACTCTGTGCTGTTCCATTGCTTTATATGTCTATCCTTAGCCAATACCAAACTTTCTTACCAACTATAACTATATTAAGTCTTGACCTTAAGTGATATAAGTACTCCCAACTTTGTTTTTTTTCAGGGTTTCTTTATATATTCTAAGTCTTTCACATTTCCATATATAAGTATTATAAGGCTGTCACTTGAAGTCAGATGTTATTCAATTTAGGTAATAGGCTTTTTCTTTTAATAGTTTGCTAAATAAGAAGATTGTTTTATATTTTATTTGTAAAAGAGTAAGGGGTCATTCCATTTTTCACTATTATATTTGTATCACCTTGCTGAATCAAGGCCTAATAAGAGTCTAAATTCACAGAAGCCCGTCCTTGAACCTCCTGAGTCTGTTTCAGCAATAACTCCTGATGTTGGCAATACTTCTTGGCTGAGTGATGACTCTACTGGGAGTAGAGCTTCTATTAAAACACTCGATTTGAAAAATACTTGCTATAGTTCACGTTCTCAGGAAATACTTTAGATCCTGGCCCTCTTCTCTTGTGTATATTGTTTAAAAAAAAATAAAAATGCTGTTTTTCTGACAGTAGGCCAATGTTTTTATCTGAATTCTTTTATATTTTTTTGTTAATCCTTACCTGAGGATATTTTTACATTGATTTTTAGAGAGAGAGGAAGGGAGCAGGATAGACAGAGAAAAACATCGATGTGAGACTTAATTAATTAGTTGCCTCCCACACACTCCTCGACCACGGCCAAGGATTAAGCCTACAACCAAGGTCTGTACCCTTAACCAGAATTGAACCCAGGACTCTTCAGTCCACAGCCAATACTGTATCCACTGAGCCAAACTGGCTAGAGCTGAATTCTTTATCTTTTATTTGCAGTCCATGAAGTCAATAATTTTGCTAGCTCTTACTGTAAGTATTTAATCCAAAGAATAGTTTAATATAAGGAAATTTTTCTTAGATATTACCCAATAAACTTGGAGGTGAGCATTATATTTGGATTTTTTTTCACTGTATTCTCCCCATGTGAGCACATTCATATTCATGTCTTTACCTTCTACTTGTATGGTAATAACTTCCAAATCTATATCTTGTACTTAAATGTTTCTGGACAAACCTCTGTTACTGCACTTCTCTTTACTGTTCTATAATTACTGATTTACTTGCTTGTCTCTGACTAGTCTGTAAGGTCCTTGAAGGCAGGGACTACATTCAACATTTTTCTAGCAGCCATGTGTAAGGCACAAACAGATTATTTGAATCCTCTTGATGGCTACGTTTAGTCCTTGTTAGTGCTGTTCTGTTCAGGTTTGCCTTCTGGAATGTGACCCTTTTGGGGTCTCAATGTAAACCTGAAGTGCATCTCCAGGCAGTTTCACCTTGCCCACCCTGGACCTTCAACCTGCCTGCTGAAGTCTCTGCTCCGCTCTTTAGCATTCCAGCTGTTGCTGTTTGCTAGGCAAAGGACCTAAATAGATATTTTTCTTTACAAAGAAGACATACACATGGCCGACAGGTACATGAAAAGATGCTCAACATCATACCAGGGAAATGCAAATCAAAATCACAACGAGATCTCACCCCACACCTGTTAGAATGGCTATTATAAAAAAGACAAGAAATAACAAGTCTTGGTGAGGATATGGAGAAAAGGGAATCTTGTTCACTGTTGGTGGGAATGTAAATTGGTTACTATGCATAACAGTGTGGAAGTTCCTCAGAAAATTAAAAATAAAACTTTTATATGATTTAACATTTTACTTCTGGTATTTATCAGAAGAAAACGAAAATGCTAAGTCAAAAATGCCAGGAGGTCAGGATGGTTTGATTCCCGGTTAGGGCACATGCCCAGGTTTCAGGCTGGATCCCAGTAGAGGGTGTGTAAGAGATAGCTGATCAATGATTTTCTCTCATCATTGATGTTTCTGTTTCTCTTTCCCTCTCCCTTCTTCTCTGAAATCAATAAAAATATATTTTAACAGCAACAACAAAAAAGTATATGCCAACCCCATGTTCATTGCAGCATTGTTTACAATAGCCAAAATATGACAACAACCTAAGTGGCCATCAAAAGATGAATGAAGGCTATATGATGAATATGTATACAATGAAATATTCAACCATAAAAAGGAATGAAATCTTGCCATTTATGACAACATGCATGGACCTTGAGGGCATTATGCTAGGTGAAATAAGACAGAGAAAGATAAATACAGTTTAATCTCATTTACATATAGAATCTAAAAACTAAGAAAACACACCAAATTCATAGATAGAGAGAAGAGAGATTAGTGGTTGCCAGAGGCAGGGTGTGGTGGTGGGCCAAATAGTTGAAGGGGGTCAAAAGGTACAAACTTCGAGCTATAAATTAAGTAAGTTATGGGGCATGGTGACTATAGTTAATAAAACTATATTGCATATCTGAAAGTTGCTAAGAGAGTAGATCTTAAAAATTTTCATCACAAGAAATAATGTTTTTGTAACTATGATGATGGATGTTAACTCGACTAATTGTTATTTCCAGTATGTACATAAATGGAATCATATGTTGTATACCTGAAACTAGCATCTTATATGTTGATTACATCTCAATAAAAAAAGAACACATTTTGAATTTTTTCTCTATTTTTTTTATTACTTATCCCTTTTAGTTTGAGAATAAACATTTATATTTAAATTCAAAATTGAACTTTTTTTCCAGATAATCATGATGACTACAGAGACTCCTATTGTGCCTTTTGCTCCTTTTGAGGCTACAGTAAGTCGAATATTGTTTGGCTGGCAGCAGCAGTTCTTACCATGTGAAAAGAAAAGTGAAATAAGCACATCGACCACAAAGTCTACAGCTGTTATTTCAGATAAAGTTAAAAAGAAGGGCACTAAGAAGACTGAGTAAATTTACTTGATGAGTTTTAGAAGGCAAAAAAATTTCTTATCTATCAGATTGTGATAAATATTTCTATTGTAAATGATGTGAAATAAAGATTATACATAAGGAATGGAGGTGACAAAAAGAAAGAACTTCTTTCTATTTCAGGGAGACTATCTCTTTCTGGATTGTAATTCTCCAGTGTTATGAGTGTATCATGTGAAATTGTTCTTCTAAATTATATAAAAATATTGTGGTTATTTTATAGTTTTATATTGATAAAAGCAGGCTAGATTTTTCAGTGTTAGAGAAAGTGAACCTGTTATCATTGCAAAATTACAAAAATTAAATCCTTTTTGTTTTCTTTAGATATTTTAAAATCTATTTGAGCTTTAGTTTAGCAAAATTAAACTTCTATTTCACATTATCATTATAATTTCTAGATACGGAAAACAATTCCTGTTTAATTTTGAACACTGGGAAAAGTAAACTTCACCTAAATCACTTTATATTGCAAAGAAAGTAAATTACTAGTTTATATCTCAGATACAAACATTGTATATTTCGCCCACCTTATGTGGAAAGATCTGAAATTTTATTAGTTTTTTTCTAGTAGTTTTTTTTCAGTGAGAACAGAGTATTAGCATGAGTTTCGAAGTTTATTTCATGCCCTTGTTTATACTGTTGCTTTCTTCTCAAAAGAAAATCAGGGGTATGATTTTTAATAAATTACTAATCCTATGTTTTGCTTTGTAAGTTTCAGTTGAGAAGCTAATATTTTTTTTCTCTCCTTAAAACTCATTTGTTTTTTACTATAGGAGAAATTATTCTCAGCATTTCACATATTCTATCTGATTGAATACACTGATGGTAGTATCATCTTAATGATTCAACAAAAAGTATTATTTTAATTTAAAAATTTTCCTTTTATGTCTCTTTTGTAATGGGAACTTTTTAGTTTTCTAGTTGAAATGTCTCTGACTAGTTTGTATGTGTTTATGTTGTATTTTAATATGTATGCACATATGTTATTTTATTTTAAATTAAAAATAATTACCCTTATGCGAAAATGCTCAGCTCTTATGAGAATTGTCCTTGTGCCTTTGGCAGTAACCAGCTAACCAAGAAACAGAAACTAAAATCTCATATGGTAGTCCACTTGAGTGAAAACTGATGACATTATGTCTGGTTCCTTCTAGATTTTCTTGCTTTATTTTATAGTTTAAAAGTCCAGTTATGACTTTAAAATTCTGTGACTGACATTTCTTCTATCCAGACTATGAACCTGCCTATCTGCAAAGAATTAGTATGTATCCAACATTTTTGGATGGCTAATCACATTCAAATTAAAAGTTTTAAAACATTTTAAACAAATACAAACACCAGCAGGGACTATGCTTTTACTTGCTAAAAAAAGTTTCTGGGGTGTGGGGTAGGACCTTTGATAGCTTTTGTATACTAAGAAGTTTATTTTTAATATTGTGACAAAAGGCATTAAAAATATGAGTTCTTTGTTACATTGATACTCTTGTACTTTTCAAAATTAACATGTTACTAATTGTTGACTTAGTTTTAAAGTTTGGGTTTGTAGTTGAAATGACAGGAATCTTGTTATACACTGTGTTAAAGACAAAGCTATTAAAATAAGTTATTTAGCACCAATAAAGTTTACATTATTTTTATGATTTAAAATATGTAGTTTTTTTGAGTTACCCATTCAGAACTCATCAGGTGTTTTGACTGATAGAGTGTGAACTAAATAATTACTGTCCAAATGGGACTTTGGTACAAACTTTAAAAATCTATGCAAGCTTCCTAAAACCTTCAGTTCAAGGATCTTAGGAGAAAGCTATATTGGAGAACATAGCTTAAGCTGAAACTCCCATCCTGAATCTACCTTGCTGCCCAGAGACTTGACGAGATTTGCAAAGCAGATTGTTAGACTCCTTACCCAACACGTAGCATAAATGAGACCTTTTGACCGGCTTAACAGCCTATTATTGGTAGCCCTGAGAAAGTCAAGACCTGGTAGGTCTCCTTACCTAAAAGGAGATAAAAAGCTGACAAGAACATTGGCTGGCTTAACTCCGTGATTTCACATTTTAATAAAATGTGGCCAAATTAATACCAAATTCTGACTTTTTAGATTAGTCATTCTTCCTTGCTGAGGGTAAAGGCTGCAGGAGCCAAATATGTGGAATGGGTGTATTTTTTGTTTGAATGTATTTTTTGTTTACTCCTTTAAGGCCCAACACCATTTCATTAAAATCTACCTCAAATCACAAATTGATTACAATTGAGTTTTACACTTGTGAAAGACTCCAAGAGAGTAGTGGGGGAAGGTTGTCAAACATTTTAATTTTGTCCATTTTCAGTGGGTAATTGTGATTTTTATGGTTTTTGACTTGCATTTTCCTGATGATTAATGATGTAGAGTACTTTTTTTGTGTGTGCACAATGGCCATTTGTTTATCGCCCTCTGTAAAGTGTCTCTTCGGATCTTTTGCCCATGTTTTATTGGAGTTGTCTTTTTATTATTAAGTTGTAGGAGTTCTTTATTTATCTTGGATATTGATCCTTTGTAAAACAGGTATTTTGCACTTATTTTCTTTCTGGTCTGTGGCTTACCTATTCATTTTTATAATGATGCCTTTTAATGAGCATGGATTTTTAATTTTGAAGCAATCTAATTTCCCAGTATTTTACTCATAGTTATTATTTTCTGTCTAAAGAAACTTTTGCCTACCTCCAAGTCATGACATTGTTTGCCCATCTGCGGAATCTGAAACAAAGGAGAAACACTTAAAAGAGAACACTGTACTGTTATGTAAATTAATAATTTTGTCACTCAGCAAGTCACTTAGCTCTAATTTTTGACTCTGATTTTTGAAAATCATTGTACAGCTTATATATTGATAACTTTTTCTGAGCTTGTGATACAATTATCCATTAAAGGAATTTAGGACTTTTCTGTATGTGTCTATTTAGGGACTTTTTGTAGGCAGGTTTGATCTTGGTTTGCCACAATTCTGATATTTAAGTTAAGAGATGGTGAATAAGAATGTGGTAACAGAAATTTTTTTAAAAATGAAGTAAATTCTCTAAGCTCAGAGTAGGTACAGAACTGGTTGGAAAGGTAGTGGTCGAAATATATATCCCATTAGTGCATGTGTGTGGTGACAGAGTGTGGAGCAGAGGTCTGATAGGAAAATTAATAGACCTTAGATTAATTCACATGCAGGCTGTCTGGTAATTCATGACACTTAATAACGAGAATTAAGATTTCATTGGGATCAAGAAAAATGAAGCAATTTGTATGTTGGGATTATTATCAGCAAACAATGGTTTAGTGAAGGAGAGAGAAAAGAAGGGACTTCTGTCAGACAAATTTATTTTTACTTCTGTATTTTTTAAAGAGAATAAAGTTGATTTTTATAGATATGTATTTTTATAAATATTTTGTGTAATCCTGCAGTTTGACTTAAAAATTCAGCCCAATCTCAATAAAAATAGATTGTCAACTGAACCTTCCTTGAGAATAATCTACACTAATAAAAGAGAAACATGCAAATTGACCATCCCTCCGCTACGCCCACCAGCCGATCAGAGTGATATGCAAATTAACCCAACAAAGATGGCGGTTAATTTGCATACACAGGCACGGAGCAAAGACCTAAGACTGAAGACAGCATAGAAGGAAGCCAAGCACTGCAGAAGGGAGCGAAGCTGCGGAGAAGGGAACGGAGCTGAGGCAGCGGAGACGGGAGGGAAACGGCGGAGAGGGAGCGAGCGAGGCAGCGGAGATGAGACCGGAGGGTGCGAGGCAGCGGACACGGAAGGGAGGGAGACGGGAGGGAGGGAGGCGGTGGACATGGGAGGGAGGGAGGTGACAGAGACAGGAGGGAGCGAGGCAGCGGAGACAGGAGGGAGGGAGGGAGGCGGTGGATGTGGGAGGGAGCGAGGCGGCGGAGAAGGGAGGGAGTGAGGGGGAGGGAGCGAGGCGGCGGAGAAGGGAGGGAGTGAGGGGGAGGGAGCGAGGCGGCGGAGAAGGGAGGGAGTGAGGGGGAGGGAGCGAGGCGGCGGAGAAGGGAGGGAGTGAGGGGGAGGGAGCGAGGCGGCGGAGAAGGGAGGGAGTGAGGGGGAGGGAGCGAGGCGGCGGAGAAGGGAGGGAGTGAGGGGGAGGGAGTGAGGCGGCGGAGATGGGAGCGAAGGCTGCCTCGGTGGGCTTCGCTCCCTTCTCTGCTTTGCTCCGGCCTCAGGAAGCCCTATTCTTGCAGGAATCTTCCTGCAACGGGCCTCTAGTATGAAATAAAAGGAATCTTTCATGTTCTCAGTTGGCTCCAGGTCCTACAGGGGCTGATAAGCAGCATGGTTATGTTGACATCTTAATGAGCTGTGAGAGGATGTACATAGCATCTTGATTAAATTTTCAAAAGACGCTAGGTGTTATGAAAGCCTGTGATGATAGGAAAGATGTAAAGAATTAATAATATGCTTGGAAAACGATTCAGCTTAAAAAATGTAAGTATCCATCTGGGAAGAATTATATAAGGCTCAAGCCTAAGGAAATATGCATGCCTTTTGTGGTAAACTTTGAATAACAAAAATTCATGAAACATTAGCAGGTTATAGTCTTTATTTTGAGCAGCCTGACATTTTTGAGTTATGTGACTGAGGAAGAGAGAGTAATTCATGTTAGAGGACAAATAGCAGTCTTTGCCATGACTGCTGATCTGAAAGGACTGTTTTGAAGATAATGTATGTTAAAAAAAATTTTTTTTAAATATATTTTATTGGCTTTTTACAGAGAGGAAGGGAGAGGGATAGAGAGTTAGAAACATCGATGAGAGAGAAACATCAATCAGCTGCCTCCTGCACACCCCCCACTGGGGATGTGCCCGCAACCAAGGTACATGCCCTTGACTGGAATCGAACCTGGGACCCTTCAGTCCGCAGGCTGATGCTCTATCCACTGAGCAAAATCGGTTAGGGCGTTAAAAATGTTTTTAAAACATTATTTCATTGAGAAGAATAGTCAATTTATGGGTGAAACCAGAGGTCTATACAGGTTGGAGCACAAATAATGTGTGCCAGTTATTTACCATGTGTAATACTTGAACCCCACAAGCCAGTAAGACAGGAAGTTCAGAAGTCCATTCTCCTCCAGACACAGTTGCTATGTTTTATTATTGTTGTTACGATGGTGTGATGATGGGATGGTATTATTACAGAGAAGCCCAGTCATTGTGTGTGGCCTCTTGATTGGTGTATTTAAATAATTCTATCATTTCTATCTGCACTCCTATGCCAGTGATCGATCATTCACAGTCTGGCCTTTCATGTTCTCAGTTGGCTCCAGGTCCTCCTAAGCTCCCATGATTCTTCCTTGTGATTGCAGACTATGTGTTATGACAACTTTTGTGGTAATTAAATCCAGGTGAAGTTCTTTCACACCTGTTTGAAGGACAGTCATCCTGGGCCATATACCATTGAGATGTTTTAATTTTCTAATACACCTCTTAGCAATGCACTCTCTTCGTTTCACTTAGCACTACCTTCCAGCACACAGATCTGGAGCCCTTATTTCTGCCTCCTGCTTGGTGACTCTGCACAAGGGATCATACTGAAAGCCATTCAAGATACTGTTTAAGTTTGCTAATGCTTAGTTTTGCTCATAAGTCCCTGAGGACAGGAATTCAAGAGATTCTCTGCAGAAGAAGAAAGATCTGCTTCAAGGTCATTTTTAGTCCTTGACTATTCAAAATGCAGCTGACAACTCACCGTAGAAGAGAGATTAAAATATACATGTAAAGGGACAAGGCACCCCATGACCTAAAGGAAACATAAGTTCAGTTCAGGCAAGGATGTGAGGAAACTGGTAAGGCAAGTAACCTCTATTAGAAACAGTAACATTTCTTCAAGACAGCATTTATCAGATTTGCATTGAAAACTTTTTTTTAAAATATATTTTATTGATTTTTTACAGAGAAGAAGGGAGAGGGACAGAGAGTTAGAAACATCGATGAGAGAGATCGATCAGCTGCCTCCTGCACACCCCCCACTGGGGATGTGCCCGCAATCAAGGTACATGCCCTTGACCGGAATCGAACCTGGGACCCTTGAGTCCGCAGGCCGAAGCTCTATCCACTGAGCCAAACCGGTTCGGCGAGATTTGCATTGAAAACTTTTAATTGATGTATAGCATTCTGAAAATTGCACAAAATTTGTTTGTCGATCACAAAGAGAACATACCCATGTGTTTATCCTGGTGTGTCTGATTTATTTTGTGTGTATTATGTTCATGATGGTCATAGATGTTACTTTATGTAGCTTGTAGTTCACTCATTTTCGTTGCTAGTATTGTATGACTACACCTTAATTTTTTAAAAAATGTTTTTGATTTTAGAGAGAGAGGAAGGGAGGGGAATAGAGAGAAAGAAAAACTTAATCAGCTGCCTCCTGCACGCCCCCTACTGGGGATTGAGCCTGCATGTGCCCTGACTGGGAACCCATCTGGTGACCTCGTGGATCATGGGTCAATGCTCAACCACTGCGCCACATTGGCCGGGCTACATCTCAGTTTGTGTATCTGATCCATTGGGTTGATGGAAATTTTAGATTGTTTTTCATTTTGGGTTATTACAAAATATTGCTGCTGTAAATATTCTTTTGCATATCTTTTGGTGCATATGTGTTGTTTTGTATATTCTTTTTTTTTTTTTTTTTTTTTTGCATGACAAAGTCTTTACTTTTAAATGATTATCAGTACACCAAGTAACAACATGTAACAAGTTCTTGAATTCTATCATCTAGTAATTTGGATTAATACTAAAAGCAGCCCAAACAATTATACTACTATTCATTGTTCTAACCCTTCACCAGAAAGGACTACTCGTATTTTAAGGCTGGCTGCTGCTTTACACAGGTTACAAACAACTATTTACTACTTTTTCATAGATAAAGCCCCTGACCTTCAAGAAAGCTTAAGGGAAAAAATTAATTTAATCCCTTTCTTAAAAAAAAAAAAAAGTGTTTCTTACCATGTCTAAGAAAGAAAAAGTCAGTATTGTTATATATATTTATATGTTGCTTCAGTTAAAAGGCATAGAAAAACAAAGTATACTCATTAACTTTCTGAGAAATATGAGGTAAAAAGATGAAATCTTTGGATAAACTCTAAGTTTATAGAAAGAAACTAGATTTGCTGTTCTCCCAAAAGCAAAAGGACCTACTATACAGTACACAGAAATAATTTAATGCCTTTTCACAAGATTATAACTCAAGCTTTGCAAAAGCTTCATATTCCATGGAGGCATATAAGATGCCAACCCATAGAACAGGTGCTTCTTTCTTCTTCCCTATCCACTTATGCGGTAGTTTTCATGGATTTCTGGCCGGATGTCACACACAAAGGCCAAGAGGTTGTCCAGGACTTCATCCCTGTTCTGCCGGAAGTAGGTCTGGAGGATGAGCATCTTCTCCTGGGTTTCCTTCTCCATTTCAATGCTGCAACTGCCGTGGGATCCCAGAGCCGCAGCTTCTTTGGCCTGGAATTCCTTCTCCCTCTGCAGGCGGTACTGTTCAATTTCTGCCTGAGCCTCTTCTTTGGCCTGCTTCAGCCTCCGGTTCTTTCGCTTGCGGGCCTCGGACACCTTCTCGGCAGCCCGCTTCTCAGCCTGCAGCAGCTGCTGGATGCCCTGCAACTGACTAGCCATGGCGGCGGTGACCCCCAAGAGGAGAGCGGCCTAAATCCGCTCCCGTTTTGTATATTCCTAGGAGTGAAAGTGACAGTGCTGGGTCATGAGAGTATGAACATACTCAGCTTTTGTAAATAGTTTCAGAAAATTTTCCAAAATACTTGGCATCTGTCCTGTTTGGTGTTCTGAGTTTGTTGGATCTGTGGTTTGGTGTCTGACATTAATTTGGGGAAATTCTCAGTCATTATTACCTCATATGCTTTTCAGTTTTCTTTCTCCTTTTTTTTTTTTTTTTTTTCTTCTCCTGGTATTTCCATTACATGTATTTTATACTTTTTGTGGTTTTCCCACAGTCCTTGGATATTGTTTCTTTTTTTTCAGTCTTTACTGTCTTTGCTTTTTGGTTTTGGGGGATTCTGTTTATGTGTTCTCTAGCTCAGATTTTCTTTCTTCCGCCAATCTCATCTACTAAATAAACTCATCAAAGGCATTCTTCATTTCTAGTACAGTGTTTTTCATCTCTAGCATTTCTTTTTGGTTCTTTCTTGGGATTTCCATTTTTCTGCTTACACTGCTTGTCCATCTGTTTTTGCATGTTTTCTACTTTATCCATTACAGCCCTTAACATAGTAATTATTGTTATTTAAATTCCTGGCCTTATAATTGCAGCATCCTTGCCATATCTGGTTCTGATGCTCTATCC